TCCGTCGTTCACCTCTGTGACGGACTATGCAAATCACACCGATTACAGGTGAGGTCCAGTTATGCTGCGGAGGCACTTGCAGCCGCACATAACCTTGATGAGTGTTACCCTACGCTCATTACTCTCCACGAGCTTAAGGCAGGGGCTTTGACTCCACGACAACTACGAGACATGCGTGAAGTTGGAGGCCTTGCTATCAAAGTCTCTCTTACCATAGACGCTGAGTCCGTCTACAAATCTTTATCAAGCAGGGATCTCAAAATACCTACAGAACGGACTCTGCTTGGACATATCAGCTGGATACGTGAGCTCATGGATATAGGTATAGTACATAATGTGCAATGGTGTGATACTAGGGATATGACCGCAGATGGGCATACAAAGGGAAGCATCGATCGGGAGCTGCTTCTGGAAGTGATGTCAGGCACTCAGTCATTTAAGTATGACGTGAAGCAATTTGTTCCCTTTCGGGGTCCCGAGGACAGAGACAAACCTAAGTCTAATCAATTTTAGTCTGTCCTTGTTGCCCTCGCGGTCCAGTTTGCCAGCACGGGCGCCTACTATAAAGGCGCCCCTTTAGCTGCTCGGAAACGAGCCTTATATTTCACGCCTGGCAACGAGCCGGCTTTGTACAACTCAGGCTCTTTGCCTTAATACACATTTGTTTGGTGAGGTATGGCCTAATTTTGGCTTGCTCTAACTAAGCCGATAGCCCTTCATTGTTTGAAGGGGCTGTCCTGTATTTGCGTGAAATACTTTGCGAGGAAACTCGCCTTACAGTCTGGTGTTTGACCAGACTGTACGCACTGTTTTCTTTTCTTTGCAAACAGTCGTGCGCGCGATCTTTGCGTGCGACTATGCTCTCCGTCTCCTCCCCTCCCGACTTGAAGGGTAGCTCTTTGGGAGATGTTACAGCATCGGGAGCATAGCTCGCGCGCCGCTGCCTTGGGCTCAAGGCGCGCGCGCCCTATTTGCCCGGACACCGCGAGTGTTCGCTATGTGCTGGAAAGATCACTACATCGATCTTATCTTATCTTACCCATCCACCCCTCATACTGTACCTTCACAGCAGAGCGATGGATGCAATTTGCCAGGCTATATGCCCTATTTGAGTTACCAGGCTCACTTTCGACTAAGACGACATAAGCATAAACTGTTGGCGCTCCGCGCGGATTTCTTGGATCCGCGCTGGGGCCCCCCCGGCGGCGCCTCAAGCGCCGCCCTTGGCGCGCTCCGCGCGCCAGGGAGGGGTGTCCAGCGCCGATCCGAGAGATCCGCGCGGAGCGCCAAAAGTTGATGTTTATGGCCGTTTTTCTTTTTCTAATCACGCTCAAAAGCCAGCTTATGCTGTTAATCTATTCTCCGGAGGTCTCCAGGGGCCCCCTACGGAGCTCTGGTGGAGCGGTCTTCGCGGAGGCCTCCGGATGTCTCGGAGCTCTCGGGCGGGATGGCCCCGGAGGCCGCTCCGTCGATCCCTGGTGCTTTTCACTTGCGGCGCTGCTCGCTCGGGTCGGACGAGCGGGGGGGGGGCTGGGAAAAGAGGGCCTGCGCAAACTGCTGCATGCAGCTGGGCTCGGTCCCGCCGCCAGTCGCTTCCCTCGATGATGGCCGCCTCTGGCGCCAGGAGCGCCGGCCCTGTCCTCCGCTGCGGCACGCCCCTCGCGACGTGGGCCCCCCCCATCGAAAGGGCAGCTCGAGCTTTTTTTTCCCCAGGGCCGACGCTTCGTCCCGAGCCGTGGTGGGACGGTCCCCGGGGGGGCGGGGAGGAGGCGGCGCACCCCTGGTGGCCGAGAACGTCCCAAGCCCGGTCGTCGCGGTCTTCCTGCGCCGCCTGGGTCTGCTGGAGCTGCATGCCGCGGGCTCGCTTCGGCGTCACCCCTAACATACTGATACTATCTACATGCGTCGCCCCGAAAGCGGCGATGCGCTCACCGAGAAATCTTACGGTATATGCGTCGTGTCGGGCGCTTTCTGGCGACACCGCTCGGGAAACGATATACTACAAGATGGGTATACCATATGTTTGGGTCGGACGCGCGCATCCAAGGAGGAGGACATATAGTATTAGTATGTCTCTGTACGTCCGATCGCTGACCACCTCCCTCTTGCCTTCCCCTCGTGGGCAGAATATCGAAGAAGAAATAACGCCGGAAATATAAACTTTTGGCGCTCCGCGCGGGTTTCTTGGATCCGCGCTGGGCTCCCCCGGCGGCGCCTCGAACGCCACCCCTGGTGCGCTCCGCGCGACAGGGAGGGGGGTCCAGCGTAGATCCAAGACATCCGCGCGGAGCGCCAAAAGTTTATGTCTATGTCGTTCTCGCCTTCTAGAAAAGCTATCCGCGGCCTCGGCCTCGGGGGCTGGGTCCCAGGGCCGCGACCCCGTGGAGCTCGGGGCCTCTGGTTCGCAGATGCCCCGCGCATCCACAGGATCGCGCCCGGAACCCAGACCTCGACTACACGTAAGAGTGACCCTTCGCCGGAGTGACGCGACCTTTGGTGCGGGCTCGTCTGGGTCCTCCCGATCGCCGAGCGCGATGCGGTAGCGGATGACTGCGCGCTTGGAGTTGGCCACCTTGCGCCATCTTCGTCCGCGCATCCAAAGGTCACTCTTACTTGGGGTTAAGTCGGGCATGTCCCTCTACAGGAGGAATATGCCAAAATCCGAAAAACAAGTCGGGGACAATTGTTGGACTATTTTCGACCATTGTTGAATCTTTCTTTGACTATTGCGAAGGCCTTACTGCAGGTGCCGCCGACCCTGAAGCGGGACGACGACGACGACGACGACCACGACGACGACGACGACGACGACGACGACGACGACGACGACGCTGACGTGGGTCAGAGTTCTCAGGGATTCAGTTCGGGGTCTCGTCGGAGCGCTCTCGGAGGCCTCTGGGTGGCAGTTTTTGGGGCCCCTTGGGAGCATCTTGGAGGCCTCTTGGGAGTTTCTTGGTGGCCTCCTGGGGTTTCCTGGGGGCCTCTTGGGGGCCTCTTGGACCCTCTTGGGGGCCTCTTAGGGGGTGGAGGGCCCGCAATGTCCGTTTGGTTCCCCTGTGTGGGCACCTTCTTGGAGCCCTCTTGGGGGCCTCTTCGGCCGTCTTGCAGGCGTCTTGGGCCATCTTCGGGCCGTCTTTGGTCCGTTTCGGGGCCCTCTGGGAGGTCTCTTGTGGCGATCGTTGGAGCCTCTTGGGCCGTCTTGGAGCGTCGGGAAACTGAAAAGGCGAGAATACCCAAGTGCTTGAAAAACTAAACGGAAATTAACGAATTGTGCCTCTTTGGGATCTCTTGGGAGTGCTTTTCGAGGCCTCTTGGGGCGTCGTCAGCCCTCTTGGGCCGTCTGGAGGCCGTAAAGACGTCTTGGACCGATCGTTCGGCGATTCAGGGTCCTTTTGGACCGTCTTTTGGGCCTCTTGGGGCCCTCTTGGCTCGTCTTGGGACGTTTTGGGCCCCGGGCCCCCCCAGGGGGGTTGGTATTCTGACCCGGGACGTCCCCCGCGACCCCCCCGGAGACCCCCCGCGCGACCCCCCCTGGAACCCCCCTCTCTTCCCTCGGCGGGGAAGGGATCAAAGGGAAGAGGCTTTGCTTCGACTCAACTACGACGTTGCTGAGTTTCGCTGTGGCTGAGTTGCTTGAAGAGAAGGGCGCGATGAAGGAGGGAGGAGAGGCGACGGGCGCAGTGAAAGGGGAGGGGCGGCGGCGACGAGGACGACGAAGCCGACGAAGAACGGCGGCGACGAGGACGACGACGACGACGACCACGACCACGACGACGACGACGACGACGACGACGACGACGACGACGACGGCGACGACGACGACGAGTCAAACGGAACAGCGCATCCCACACGCCGACAGGGACGTGCCCGAACTAAACGTAGGACCACTCTCGCGCGTAGCCGAGGACCGCGAGTGCGTGGCGGACCGCGAGTGCGTGGCGAGGGCTGTGCTTCCCGCCGGGTGCTCCAGCAGGGAGGGTTGCGCGGCGGCCACCCGGTGCCGAAGCCCAGGGGAGGAGGCGCCCAGACCCCCGACGTCATGATTCTACGGCCCCCCGGCCAGTGCCGCCGGATCTGGGGGGCTCAGGATTCGGTGCTCTTCGCGGCTCTGTGGCCTCCTCCCTCCTCGATTCTTCCGGTCTTCTTTCTTCTCCTCGGGGGGGCGTGCCATGATTTTTGTTCGTGGTGTCGACCCCCACACTGATGGGAAGGATCGGGCGTCGTTGTTCTATGCATTGTTTTGCCGATCGGCGCGGGCCCCCCTCCCCCCCCATGAATGGAGTGGTTAGATCTTGGCTGTTTCTTGGCGCCCGTTTCGAGCGGGTAGGGTCTCCCCCATAGGGCGCACGGTTCCAAACAGTCGCACCAAACAGAGGTCTGGAGCCAGACCCCGCCCTCCACCCCCCCCCGCTTCCGCTCAATGTCGAAACGCCGGATAAAAAGCAAAAACGCTCACGAAGTTTGGCAAACAACAACACAACGCTCATGAAACAAAACAAATACAAACACAACAACAAGAAACACAATGAAAACAAAGACACAAACAAAAACAGAAACCATGGAGCCAATGACCTGAAGCAGTCGTGCACTACGAAATCTGACTTTCGGCGCTCCGGCGGCCGCCCCCCTCCCGGGGCGACCGTCGGCGCCCTGCTCTTGCCCATGCCCTCCGCGCTCCCTGTGCCAGCATGCCGGCTGCGCGTGCCGTCTCGGGGCAGGGTTCTGCGGCGGGGCGGGGGGGAGCAACGGCGAACGCAGACCCCCGACGTCATGATTTTTTTCATTGCGTCGACCTCCGGAGGTCTGAACCCATTCCCCGGGACCGGTTTTTCATCCTGAGTCGTTTCTTGACGGTCCCGAGGCCCGGTATAGGGGCCCCCAGAGGCCAAAAATAGGGACCCCCCCCCGTGGTGGTTTTGTTCATGATTCGAGGGGGCCTGGAGAGGACGCGGGGGCCGCCTCGTCCGCCCCGACGCCCGCGCCCCCGCCCGCCCGACGAGGAGGGCGAGAAGCCCGACGCCGGGGCGGCGCCCCCGTGCCGCGCGGCCGCGCTGCTGCAGGGCCAGTGGGCGAGCCAGGCGAACCCCGCGGAGATCTACGAGGCGGAGGGCGCTCCTCGGCGGCACCCGTCTCATCAGACCCCCCCCCCTCGAGTCATGAGAGAGGCACGACGGGAGGTGCCACTCGCAAGCTTCGGCCTCCGGGGGCGCTTGCCGGGCCCCAGGAGCGTCAACAAAGACGGCCCAGGAGGAGGAGCCGGTCCCGGGGAAGGGGGCCCAGACCGCCGGGGGGTCGACGTCATGACAAGAGCATGACGTCGAGGGCCTGGGCCGGGCGACGCGCATCAGACCTCTTGAGAAGACGCGTTGGCTTCTCATGGACTCCAGATTTCGTTTTTCTAAGGAAGCCCCGGACCTCCAGCGCGTCGAGGGCGCAGCTGCGGAGAGGTGCCTCGCCGTTCTCTCGCGGCCCGTGGGCCGCTCACAGGGGTCTCGAGGCTCAAGGGACGGAGGTCAATGCAAGCGGGGGTCCGTCAGAGCGCCGGATCTGGCATTAAGTAGGGCCTGTCCCTCTGCAGGAGGAGTAGTCAAAAATAGTTAAAACATAATTTGGGGGTCGATTTGTTGAGTATTTCCATGCATGTTTTGAATATCTTTGACCATTTGTGATTTTTCGTCCAGATTCCGCCTGTAGGGGGACACGCCCGACCTAAATCTGCGGAATTGGGCAGGATCCTGCAAGGCAAGGGCTGCATTGACCCAGGCTTGGGTGCAGGATCCTGCAGGATCCTGCAGGATCTTGCAGGGCCCTGCAAGGCCTGACTGACCCAGGTCTGGATCGACCCGGGTCAGTAGATCCCCGAGGACCGGGGCATAGGATCGAGGTCGGTTTTCGGGGAGGGCGCCTTGCTGTTCTTCGTGTCTGTTGGATGTTCTCGTGCACCCTGGGGAGGGTACCCTTGGCTGTTCTGAGTGTTCTGGCCGGCGGAGGATCTCATGCGCTTGAGGGGTGTTCTTCTGGCCTCGGTCCGACTGCACCGTCAGAGAACGACTCGGGATGAAACGCCAGGGACTTCCAGGAACCCTGTAGTGAACAAACCAAGACATCAGATATCTGGGGCTACGACGAGCAAATGTTTCGAGACTGACGCGCGCATCACTTCGAAATGAAATGCACAAGAAGGCCACCCCAAGCACCAGACCCACCTGAACGTCGGCTTCAAGAAGGTGCCCTGGTAAATAGGACGCTTCCGCTTCCCCAAGGGGCACACCTGACCAAAAGGAAAGAACAATTCTACCCGGAGTTTGCGGAGCCTGCCAGGTGGACGGCATGAGCGTGGTCCGGAGCTTCTCGAAGCGAGGAAGCGGCAAGAGAGATAGGCCGTTCTCCTCCAACTTCTCGTTGAGGCGCGGCGGGCGAACCGAAGCGTCACACAGACCTCCAGCATCTTGAAGATGAAAACGTCGATTTGTCATAACTCGCCCCAGTGCGGAGGTGTTCGGTTCCTCTGGGGCTGGCCAAGGCACAGCTCAGGAGGAACAGCTTGCCCTGTTGAAAATCACGGCTGGGACTTCCCGGGGGCCCAGCCTGCCCGTCGTGGCCCACCCGCCGGTCCGCCCGTCAGGCTTTGCCCGCCCGACCCGCTCCTACTGTCAGGAGCGAGAGAGGGACGTACACGCACATGAATCCGCGTTGGTTTCGAGAGTACGCATCGCGCGAGAGTTCGTATCGTGCGGACGGTCTCGCGGATCGAGGGACCGTGTTCCTGTACATTGTTGGGCGCGTGCGTCCTCTGTGGGCTCCCTATATACTGCCCGCTCGGCATTTCGCCAGGAGCTGGCACGAAGAGCAGCCCCCGCCCCCCGAAGGTGGAGCACGCTCCTCAGCGAAGGGGGCGAGAGCCGAGGGCAATTTGGGGGCACACGTGTTGGAGGGCACTGCGGGGGAGTGACTGGCACGAGCGGTCTTGGGGATGCATTGTGGTGACTGCTGTGCCGAGCTACTCTCCCGCCGAGGAGGTTGCGGGCAATAGTTGTATCCACATCCAGTGCGTCTTGGATTCTTGAGCTCTCTTCCCCAGAAACCGTAGACGCACTGGATATGGATAAAAATCTGGCCCCAAGAGGCTTGATTTTATCCATATCCGGTGCGCCTCGGCGTTGCGGCACCTCTTCCCAAAAAGTCCACGACGCTCTGGATATGGATATAAGTACTGCCCGCAAAGGTGGAACGCGGCCCAGGGACGGCTCGAGTGGGGCACCGCCGGGAAGTTCTTCCTGCGGGAGCCGCCGTGGGCCTCCCGCAAAGCCCACCGGGGCCCCTCGCGAAGTCGCATCCCCCCTGCACGATCCGCTCCCCCCCCCCTCCTCATGGCCCCCCCCTCTCCTCCTTCCCTCTCCTTCCCCCTGGCTAAGCTCTGCATCCCTCTTCTCCCCCTTCTACGTCGTCGTCCTCACCCTCTCCTCCTCCTCATCCTCCTCCTCCTTCTCCTTCTCCTTCTCTTGACGTCCCTTTCGCCTCATCTTCTTTCTCTTGGCCTCCTTTTTCCCTTCCTCCCTGCATCGCCTGTCTTCCTCGTGGAAGACATGGGAAGGAATGGAAGTAGGAGGAGGCTCCATGGGTGGAGGGAGGGGACGGGGAGAAGAGAAGAGCAGGGGGCCAGGGAGGAGGAGAAGGATCAGTGTAAACAAAAGTGTCATCAACGATGTTGGAATTAATCCTCCCTCCAAGCTTCCTCTTCATAAGCTCCTACATCGGTTCATTTCCATTGAGGGAACTGCTTCGTTGGAAGACACCCTTGACGACCCTGAAGCATGCTAACACATTGTTCTCGGGATTTCAACGCCACGGATCAACTCGACTGCTGCGTCTTGACGATCCGGAGTCGTGCCAGAACGCCATGTTTGGGATGTCCACACCGCGAATCAACATGATTAATTGTTGCACCCGCGTAATCCTGGATCCGTCCCAAACACCATTCATGGTACATTGATCATGGGAACCCGTGAAACTCTTTTGCACTTTATGAGCGAACGTGCGCGGCGCGATGGCGAGAGCCACATTTTGAAAAGTAGCCGCCCTCAATCCGTTAATTATATGCAAATGTTTGAACGAATGTGCGCGGCGCTGAGGCGAGAGCCACATTTTGAAAACGGCCCGCCCTCAATCCGTGAAGCTCTCGCAATTTTTGAAAAAGAATGTGCGCGGCGCTAAGGCGAGAGCCACATTTTGAAAACGACCCGCCCTCAACTGGTGAAACTCTTGTTTAAAACGAATGTGCGCGGCGCTCAGGCGAGAGCCACATTTTGAACACGACCCGCCCTCAATCTGTGAAACTTCTGCAATTTGTTAAACCGAATGCCCGCGGCGTTAAGGCGAGAGCCACATTTTGAAAACTACCCGCCCTCCATCTGTGAAACTGCTGCCATTTTTCAAGCTTCAGAGCCATACATGGTAAGGAAGTCTCAGGCGAAACGTCTGGCCCGCCCTAAAAACTGGCTTCGGGGTGCGACAGGGAGAAGGTCTTTATAAGGACAAGGAATGGACCAGGAGGGTGAGGAGGAGGCAGGAGGCGTCGGCGGAGGTGGAAGCGGAGCCCGCCTGAGGAGAAGAAGCAAGTGAGACCACCTCTAGTCAGCATAATCATCGTCCCTGCTCCCTGCCGAGGCGTAGGAAGAGGACGAGGAGCGGGAGGAGGAAAAGGAGGAGAGACTGAGAGGAGGTATCAATATTGTTGTTGATGGTGCTTATGATGGTGGTCATGATGATGTTGTTGATTATGATTATGGTGATGACGAGGATGCTGGTGATGCTGATGCTGATGGTGATGATGATGATGATGCTGATCATGGTGATGATGATGCTGACGATGACGGGGTTGGCGTTTTTTTGTGAATGGTGGTGGCGACGATGGTGTTGTTGATGATGATGATGATGGTGCTGATGGTGATGATGACGATGACGATGCTGGCGAAACTGATCTTGATGGTTCTGCTGATCATGGTGATGCTGCTGGTGAGGATGATGATTATAGTCGTGGTACTGATTCTAATAATGCTGACGACAACGATGGTGACGGTGATGGTGATGATGATTGTGATGGTAATAATGATGCTGGCGATGACGACGATGATGATGATGATGATGATGATGATGGTGGTGGTGATGCTGATGCTGATGATGCTGGTGGTGGTGGTGATGGTGACGCTGATAATGGCGAAGCTGACGACGAGGACGTTGATGGCCATGCTCATGATGATGCTGATGCTGATGATGATGATGTTGATATGGTAATGATGATACTGATGATGACGTTGATGATGATGATGATGATGATGATGATGATGATGATGATGAGCATGACGACGATGTTGGTGGTGAGTATGTTGATGATGATGCTGATGCTGATGGTAAGGATGATGTTGGTGATGGTAACTAGTTATGAACCAGGTTGTTCGATGATGTTGTTGTTGATGGTGACGATTATGCTGACGGGGATGATGATGATGATGATGATCGTGATGCTGCTCATGATGATGACGTTGTTGATAATGAGGATGATGACGATGATGATGATGATGATGATGATGGTAATGATGATGATGATGATGATGATGATGATGATGATGATGATGATGATGATGATGATGATGATGATGATGAGTATGATGATGAGTATGATGATGCTGATCGTGCTGGTGGTGATGATGTTAATGATGAAGGTGATGGTGATGATGACAACGCGAATGATGGAAGAAGAGGAAGACGAAGAAGGAGTAGATGATGGTGATGAGGATAATGGTAATGAAAACGATGTTTATCATGATGAGCTGATGATGCTGATGATGATGATGCAAGTGAGGATGATGATGACGATGATGAGGATGATGATGATGATGATGATGATGATGATGATGGCGACGATGATGATGATGATGATGATGATGATGATGATGATGATGATGATGATGATGATGATGATGATGATGGCGACGATGATGATGCTGATGATGGTGATGATGATGGTTATGGAGGCGATGGTTGTGGCGATGGTGATGGGGATTGTGATTATGATGATGGGGAGAAGGCGGAGGAAGAGGAGGAGGAGGAGGAGGAGGAGGAGGAGGAGGAAGAGGGGAAGGTGCCGGAGGAGTAATTTCAGCAGGATTCTGCAGGAGCCGCCGGACAGAGAAGGGGGGATAGTGGAGGAGGAAGAGGAGGAGGAGAGGAGGAGGAGGAGGAGGGAGGAGACGAGGGACGAGGAGGACGAGGAGGAGGACGAGGCGGAGAACGAGGAGGAGGAGGAGGAGGAGGAGCAGGAGGAGGAGGAGGAGGAGGAGCAGGAGGAGGAGGAGGAGGAGGAGGGAGGAGGACGGGGGAGGAGGATGAGGAGGAGGAGGAGGAGGAGGGAGGGAGGAGTGGAGGGGGGAGGAGGAGGGAGGAGGAGGAGGAGGAGGAGGAGGAGAGGAGGAGGAGGGAGGAGGAGGACGAGGAGAGAGGAGGACGAGAGAACAGGAGGAGGAGGAGGAGGAGGAGGAGGAGCAGGAGGAGGAGGAGGAGGAGGAGGAGGAGGAGGCGGAGATCCGTAGCCATGCGGGCTCAAACGTCTGCGCCCGATCGATTGGGTCACGTGCGCCCTGCCGCTCGTGGCAACGCCCAGGCGTGGCGCCCGCCGCGCCATGGTGGGCGCGGGGCCCGCGATGAAGCAGCGGCTCGCCCCGCGCCGCTCCGGCCAGGCGGGGCCCCCGCCTTCGCCAAGCAGCAGATTGCCTGCAAGAAGTTGTCGGGCTCCTCTCTGGAGCGTAGGTCTCTGGAGACCGAGGCCGTCGGGGCTCCATGGAGGGCGCCCACGTTGATTGCCCTAAGCAGCTGCGCGTGGGACAAGGAGCTGCGTGGCGCGCAGCACCATGGCCCGACCGCTGCGACCTACACGTATACTGTGTCATCCTCTGCCGCCACGGAGAGCGAGAATGGCGATCACAGCCATTCCCACAGCGTCGTCGCCATGGTCAGGCCACCCGGCCACTTGGCCACCGACGCCAGCGCCACCCACAGCGACAGCGAGGGCTCCCTGCCTGCTGCCCCCCTGCACCACTGCGTGCCACTACCCGGCTTGTACGCCACGGTCCCCTAACGACCCCCCTGCCCGACGACCCCGACGACGCTCCCCACGACCTCCTGCCCTACCCGACGGCCCCCGCGACCCTCCACCCAACGGCCTCAACGGCGGCCGCGCCCCAAGTGGTCATATGCCCCGGGAGCGAGCCCGCGGGGGGCATGCCCGGGGAAGCGGCCATAGGGGCAGCCGAAGCCACCCCATGGAGCCCCCCACGCCTGCCCCACGACCCCCCCCGCAAACCAAAAAGACCCCACGATCCACCACCACGACGGCCCCCCACGACCGCCACGCGGCGGCCCCCACGACGCCCTCCCGACGCAGCCCCCACGACGGCCTCCGCGACGGACTCAGCGGCAGCACCCCGCGGCTGCCCTCGCGACGGCCCCCACAAAGGCCTTTCCGCGACGGCGACGAAGACGACGCCCACCGAGATGGCGACAACGACCACGAGGGAGCCCATTTTCCCTGCGACGCCGACCCCAGCCACCTCCAGGACAGGCACGAGGACAGACCGACCGACGCCCAAACCGACGCCCCTCCCGAAGACCTTCCCGACGTTTTCCCCGGCACCCATACAGTCGGGGCCCTGAAGAAGGAACCTTTTCGTTGGGGAGGGGCTCTGTGTGCCTTAAGTGTTTCACAGCTTGCCTCCGGTATTTCTTATGTTTTCGATCGGAAATCGAAGTTCAACTTGTGGAACAAAGGGGCCTCGTTCCTTATTTAGGGTTCCTTAGGTCAACGCCCCGACTGTACCGACGCCCCTCCCCACTTCTTACCCGACGCCGCGCCCGACGCGCGCCCCACGTTCGAGTCCCTACTCGGATGGGACCACACCGGCAAACAGCGCTTCCCTCACAGACAGCCAGGCGGCCCGCAGGACGAGTGCACCGCCGACCCCGCGGCCCCTCGCCCCCCGACCCGCCTCCATGACGACCCTCTACTCAACCCGACGACTCCTGCGACCCTTCACCCCGGCACCCTTCGTCCGACCCGATGGCCCCCACGACCCGCCACCATGTCGGGCTCCACGAACGCCTGCCCACACCCCCCACAACGACCCCCGCGACGACCCCCACGATGGCACCCGCGCCCCGACTGGTCATATGCCCTGCGAGGGACCCCGCGGGAGGGGGGGGGGGGGCGGGCAAACCCGGGGAAACTGGCATAGGGGCGGCCGGCCAGCCCGCAGCCTGAGCCGCTGGCCCTTCGGCAGGATCACGGAGGGGGGCCAGTCGGAGGCACACCTTGAGAATCGGTCACCGCGACAGCCGCGGATACTCTCAGGCCCCCCAGCTGCCCCCCCGCGACGGCCCCACTCGCTCCCCCGCCCCAACCCGCAGGCTCCCACGACCCGCCACCACCGCGGCCCCCCGCGACGGCCACTGCGCGACGGACCCCTTGCTGGGACTGCCTCAGCTTCGCGGACAGCGCTTCCTTCACGGCCGCCGGCTGAGCGGACGACCGGACAGCCGACCCCGCGACCCCTTGTCCCGTTACCGCCACAGCCCCCCGCGACGGCCCCCCGCGACGGCCCCCACGACGGCCTCTGGGCGACCCCCGCGACGGCGGCCCCCGCGACGGACCCCCGAGACAACCCCCGCGACGACCTCCGCGACGGCGACCGCCAAGGCGGGCGCGAGGACGGCAACGGCCACCCTGACTGCCGCCACGACAACCCCACCGACGCCCCCCAGCGGCGGCCTCGCCGACAGCCTCGGCCAGCGACGGCGCCGCCGACACTCTCCACGAGCGCGGCTACGAAATGACACCAGCCCTTCAGAGGAGACAAAGCCCGAGGAGGACGAGGACGCGACCTCGGACGACCCCGACGCGTCGAACCCACTTCTTGCCGCCCGGCGGCAGAGACGGCGGCAGGTCTACTTGAGATGATCAGCTGCCCCTCTCCCCTGGACGCCCTCACTTCCCCGGCGCCTCCACCAGCGCTACAACGCTTTGCCACGACCACCCACGCCCCTCCGCCCTACGACCAGTCCCGACGGCCCCACCAATGCCCCCAAGACCCTTCCCCGACGGCTCCACCAAGGCCCTCCCGACTCTCGACCCGACGCTCTCCGCGACGCCCCTCCCGACGCCCCCCCCCCCCCGCGAGGGCCACGGCCACCGCGACGTCTTCGAAGACGGGCTTCCTACCGGCGCCCATCGATAGGCGCGAAGCCAAGAGGCCAGATGCCACCATGGCAACTGCAACCAGAGTCAGCACCACCCAACGACCACCGGAGCACGCCTACTTCACCGCGAGCACAGCGTCTGCCGGGCCTCCCGCGAGGATGTCGAGGGCCTGCGAGGCCCGGGAGGCGGCGCCCTGTGCCGCCTGGAAGGGGGGGGGGAGAGCTCCAGGATGAGGCGCACGAGACCAGCGGCGCGCAGCGCGCCCCACACCAGGGGCAGCCCCGTGCACGGACACGCCCACTCTGCCCCCCTCTGTCCTTCCCCCTCTCCCCCGCCTTCCTCGGCCCCCCCCTCCCCCCCCTCCCTCTTCCGGGGGGTCCGTGTCGGCTTCTCTGCGTTTGAGGAGGCCCCTTCTTTCCCTCCTCCTGCCCTCCCCCTTCGCGCTTCGGCTCGGGCCCCTTTCGTCCCCCCCTACCCCCCTTTCGGACCCTCGCCTTCCTGCATTCGTGTAATTACCCCCACGCCGCTGGGCGCCACAGCGCTAACAGATATGCTACATCTTCCCCCCCTCTCAGGGGCAACGACCCCTGGGGCGGGTCGGGTAGCGTCCGACGGATCCTTTTGCCATCAGATCTCAGGTGCCAGGAGGAAGAGGAGGAGGAGGAGGAGGAAACGGAGAAGGCGGTGGAGTAGGAGGCGAATGAGGAGGAGGAATAATCATAGTAATAATAGGGAAAAGGAGGAGGAGGAGGAGGAGAAAACATAAGAGGGATCATACTACGAATAATGTTAACAAGACAACTCATAATAGTAACAAGGAGGAGGAGGAGGAAAAGGAGGATGAGGAAGGGGACGAGAAGGGGGAGGAGGAGGAGGAGGAGGAGGAGGAGGAGGAGGGCGGAGGAGGA